CAAAAGGTCAGGTTATGATGCAGTGATATCCCTCCCCCCCCCCCCCAAATGCAAGCTCTGTGGTGGACAATGTAATTGCCATCCAAGTTTGCTCTGTGAGAAGATCTCCTCCTCTTCTAATACCTACAAAATGGTTTGCAACAATAAAAACAGTAGTAAATAAAATTAACAATAATATTTCATAGTAACAGTGATGTACAAAACAATCTTAAAGAAAAAGAGGCCCTCCACTGTAAATGCCATAAAATGCTAGACTAAATAACAGCTTAGGCTGGACGTTTGGTCATATAGACTAAATGGGGATTAGTTTTTCAGAATTTCAACCCCTTTCCATCAGTCAATAATTTGCTATTTTGCTCAATCTAATGTTGCAACACCTGTTTTTTTATTTTCACGACACTATACTTGAAACGTTTCCTGGTCAACGTTATTATTTTCACTTCTTCTCAAGGGTAGAAGGCTTAGTAGAATTGATGCTAATTACTCTTATTTGAATAATAAAATTGTGTGTTGTCAACATCAAATATATCACGTTCTATTTTAGTGTCTTGGTTTTGAAATGGAATTACTGACAATTTATTTACTTGGTTTTTTTTTTTTTTTTAAGCACATAGTGACTTTAGTATGGCCTTAAGAGATACCTATTGATCTAGATAAATAGACCCCAAATACTCAGCTTTCACATGCAATATAGGAACACTGAAATAGAAATAGGTGCTGATAGCATTATGCATGCTGCCCATGTGATACGCTCCATTATAGCGATTCCAAAGTGAATCCCCTTTAAGGACTTTGGTGATTTTTATGACTCTCAGATCCAAACTCCGTGACTGAAGGTACAACTGCAAGACTCATTAACTCGTTTCTGACTGAAATGGTCTCTCTACCAGTATTAATACAAGCAATTAAGCCAGAATTTCTCCTGGCAAAAACAATCACAGCAGATGGCACCTTTTCTCTCTATTAATTTCTGATTGGACATGTACTTTGGCTTGTTCAGTTATGTCATAGTTGTAACATAACAAGGATAATTCAGGCAACTACAATGACAGTATTACAGGCATGTGTATATTGGAAGAATTTACCAGCTTGTAGCATTTTACATATTAAAATTATATTCACTTTATGGATGGTCAAGTGATAGATTTCATGTACAACTTGCTGTGCTGATAAAATAATTTGAGAATATTTATTCCCTTGAATGATCTTGATGTGTGTGTGTGCTTTTAGCCTGCTTATAAAAAATTAAGGTTTAGTAACTTGTTCTAAACATGGTTTGCAGTTACTTCTTTCACTACTTTCTAGCATTTATTCTGCTTTTAATGACTGTAAAGCCATTGACAGTATGATGTCTGTTGCTGAAACAACAGCATTCTACTACAGGTAGTCCTCACTTACCAACCACAATAGGGACCGGCAATTCTGTTGCTAAGTGGCATGGTTGTTAGGTGTGATGTCACATGACCGTGACTTGCAACTTCCTGCTGGCTTCCCCTTTGACTTTGCTTGTCGGAAGCTGGATGTGAAGGTTGCAAAGGTGATCATGCGACCGTAAAAATGCTGCGACAGTTGCAACTTTGAGGACTGGTCGTAAGCCTCATTTTCAGCACCGCTGTAACTTTGAATGGTTGTTGAATGAGTGGTCAGTAAGCAAGGACCACCTGTAAAGACATTCCATTTAATGCATACTTCATAGAGGTATGAATAAGTGGATACATTATTGGCAATACAATATTATAGTGAAGTATATCACTGTACTGCTCTGTGAAATGAGTTTTTAGTTAGAATGTACATTTATTTGTTATTTTCTCCAATGTTTATTGCATATGTGCATTCGATATGCTGATTCTGATAAGCTACATTAACCATAACTTCTAATTACAGGTTGCCTGCATGCAGCTCATAAATGCCCTTGTCACTTCTCCAGAAGATCTTGATTTTAGGGTACACTTGAGGAATGAATTCCTGCGCTGTGGGCTAAAGAAAATATTACCAGTAAGTTAGTTGCAAAAGAAGTGCTAATGCACCAAGTACCGTGATTGCTTGCCTTATAAATCTTACACAAGTCTTGCAGGATATGGCTAAGTGTGACTTTAATGGTTCTTTATCATTTTTAATCATTGTGAAATGGGAGCAAAATTTTGCAGCGTTAAAAACGTTCAACAATGGAAAATAATTTTCTTTTTATGACAAATGATTGCTTATATTCATTTTTATTGATCTAGGGAATTTTAAAGTGTATATTGGATAGTTAATAGTGTCATGAACTTGTGACAGGGAGAATCAAATTTTAAAGCAAACTGTAACTTAGACTGTGGGCTGGCTGTGTTTAAGCTTTAATTTCTGATTTCAAAATGACTTCTAAGAAACTGTAAGGGAATGAAATATTTTACACTTGTGGTAAATAACTGTTCCTCTTGTACACGCTGTTGATTTTATATATATTTTTTACACTTATTTAGGTAAGGAAAGTATATTATGTGTATAACATATAATATATCTTAACAAAGAAGCTGTTCACATTTTAAAAAAAAGTCCCCTTAAATTTGAAACACAAAATAGCTATTTTCTGTTTTTATGTAGAGCAAGTACTATGGTTGAGTCTCTTAAATGTAGTAAATGAAATATTTCATTTGCTATATTTCTTTAAGAAATATTTCATTTACTAGGAATAAGAAGCAAATGAAGGAATGAATTATTTGCACTTTGAATTGTTCTGCACAGAACCAGTTAGAAAAGGAACTATAGAAGTACGGGTCTTTATCTCATTCTTTCAAAATTAAGCTGTGCTTTTAACCAATGCCAGTAGTTGATTTTTGATTCCCAAACAATCTGCAGAGGAGACATAAATGTGAATAAGTAGTTTGTTTGTTGCATAGATGAAAAAGATCCAATTCCAAAGTTAATAATAAACACAGATTATTTATGTGACATATACTATGAATGTGTATACTACTAATCATTTTTTTCCAAATTTGTAAAAGGTTGAACTAAATATTACCATCTTAAATATATATGTGTTTTCTCAGAAAGCCGTGGCAGCAGCAGAAGCTCTTTATGCATTAATGTTTCTAATGGTCTTAGGAACAGAGTAATAGTCTCCTGTATTTGGAAATTAAATTTTTTTAATTAAATTACTGCTTCTGTAAACAAATTACCAGGATAAAGGCTTCTGACTCAGGCAAAATTCCCAGTGCTGTACAAAAATAGTCAATTTTCACTGTGACAGTGAGTGAATTCTTCTCACATTCGGCATCGTTTAGAAGCAGTTTACGACGTGGCATCTTGTTTGCCTAAAAATGGGACCAAATATTCTAATTCATTTTGCATAAAGCATCAATTTAAAAAGTTGGCTTGGGTCAAACTCATTGCAGAAAGGATGGTCAGAAAGATGATGGTCTTCTGTTTAAACATGATTTGGTAGCATCTTCATTCTGACAGAAAACCACTTTACAAGGTATCTGAGGTAAGGGAAGTCACCAGTTAGTTGAGATTTTTTCTCCAGTTGAGCAATGTAGTTCATTTTAGCTTCTTCTACTCTTAAATAGAAAAAGCAGTTACCAATTCTGACTGGATAAGCCAGCGTGCAGAAGAATTTAAGATCCAAATGCCTGTGA